TTACTTCGATATACTCAAAATAAGGGACGAGGTAACTAACTATAGACTTCACGTGGCTAACTTCTACTTCTGGTGCTAGTGCCACAAACAACTTTATCTGGAAATAAGGAAAAAGAATATCGTGAGCATTATTTTTTATGATGCATTTCAATAATCATCGATAACGATAATATCGCGAACATTATTGACAACCCAAGACCAAAATATAAACAAGATGGCGTTTTACTGTTACAGCTATTAGGGTTAGTTTATCATCACTCTGAATCAATTTTCCGATCAGATTTAATTGGGTACTTAAAAGTGACGTCATGCTTTAGCGTCAAATCTGATTGGCTGCCGAATCGTTGCAAAACAGATGCCACGATTCTGCAGCCAATCAGGTTGCGTGGTGATAGGATACACTAAAATATATTAAAATCTCTGAATGGAAAAATATTTCTGTTGTAGAAGCTGCAGTAAATTGTTATTGAGGTTTTATTTTTACCTTTTCATTGTAAAGAGGTTTTTCAGACAGAAGAGCAAAAGCTATGGTTGTCCCCTGAGAGTGGCCAATATATACCAGATTGTCTTCTTTAGTTACATTGAGAATATAGTCAATCATAGCTGGCAAATCATATTCGGCCATCTGATCAAAGCTAAAAGAAAATAATCAGTGTTTAAATATAGTATGTAATTCAATACGACAGTTTTTTTTTTTTTTTTTTTTNTTTTTTTTTTTTTTTTTTTTTTTTTTTTTTTTTTTGTATTAGTATAAAATTAGGCTCGATGGTGACAAATTTTTCAGCGAAGGGCGTTCCCGTTTTCGTATATATGATGACGTTTTAAATATCAATCTTGATTCTTGACCTACTCTACAACCGCTTACTACAGCTTATTATTTAGCTAGGCGATATTTTCAAACAAATCATATTTTTTCCTATAAAAGAAATAAATTACATAATTTCTGAGCTCAAATCTGCTATATTTCATAAGATATCAATGATATTAAGTAATTCTGATGAGTTTGAAGTAAAAATCTGCTTAGTTATTTAGATATGTATTATGGCGCCTTTTTACTTGTTTATTACTGTTTATTCGTAGTGCTGCCAGCCGTGCTCCGTCATATGTTAGCGTTAGCATATTGTTCGAGGAGCGAGATTAAATTCATTCTACAACTTATCATTCAGGTTTAAATTTTGAAGTTTTTATATTGTTAACAAGGTAAGAAGTGCTTTATAACGATTTCTTTTTTAAATGACAATTCTTACGTCTTGAAATGACACGTCTTCATATGACGATTCTTATAACGATTCTTCTTTTAAACACAAATAATAAATCAGTTAAAAAACACAAGTACACAAAAAAAACACTCAAGAGAATCACAAAACACAATGTTCACGTTGTGTGCCAAATGGCTTCAAAACACACCAAAAACAGTAACCCGGAAGTATAGGCAGTCAAGAGCTTTCAGCGCTCTCCTTTGTAGAAAACGCAATCCAATATACGGGTCTGCTTTCGACCGGACATAACTGAAAATTCTAAAAACACGTTTATTCCTTTATATATACAGGAATACAATAATGAAAACACTTCTATAGTTTGTCTACCATTAGAACTCCACCCGCCACAAAGTCTCCAGCCGTCTGCTTCTGAAACAAGAATAGCGAATTTCAGGGAGGGTAGCTTGACTTCATTATAGGGCTAAAACAATTGACCGAAGAAAAAGGTTCTCTTTCTCTCTCCGATCCGAGCTAAAACCTGTCCTAAACCCCACACCCCTACTAGAAATAGTTACACCTCGTTACCATAGTCATCGCCACGGGTCCAGACGAATGGCTAGGGGAGTTCTTACTTTAGACAAACTATATATTAGGTCTATGTAAGCAATCTATCTTTTAGCAACAGATGCTTTGGAAGATTTTGCATGTGAAAATTGTTGTCACACATCGAAAGATCAAGCTTGAAGATTTTAGAAATGGTGTCCTTTTCTCCTATGCAAAATTCAGATCGACCAAAATGAGAAAGGAAATGAATAACTTGTTCCTAATTTTAACATCACCAACTTTTACATCATTCTATAGGATAGTAAGGTTTATTTTATAAAACTTTTCAAGTCTTACTTGAAAAGGAAATGAGGTATTATCTATTTAAGCTCAATTTGGTCGATCTGTACTTTGCATGGGTAAAAAGAGCACCATTTCTAAAAAATTCAAACAAGATCTTTCAAATTGTGCCAATATATATATATATATGTAATAACAGGGCATTAATTCTCTTATTAATACAAAAGTATTTTGTAATACAAAAATTAAATATATGATATTTTCAGATTTATTATTTTCAGTATGATATTTTCAGATATTTTCAGTAATATATACTGCAATGATATTTTCAGAAAATTAAATTTATTTACCCTCAAAAGTTTCCAATGTTTACCTGAAATCCCAAAAATCTTTTGAGTTTGTTTCGAAGTTGAGATGTTGTCTCGAATAGGCACCACCCCTTGTATTTCCGAGCCATACATCGTAACCATAATCTGCCAGTAAGAAACCTGAAATATAAAAAATATCTCTATATTGATAAAAATATACAAATGACATACCAGTGTATTTTATATAATATCTTTTTAACGATAATAAAAAGCTGCAAAATAACTTGAGCCATCATTGGGCCAATATTTACAAATCTTGGCTAAATAAGAATATTGTCTATATTTATGCAATATTGTAAAGCACTCTTTTTTGCAGATATAATCGTGTGAGATGATGACGAGATTATATCTTTTCATTATTTAGTTTTCCAACTTTTCAATTTTTTTTTAATGAAATTCTTAAATATTTTTTTTAAATTTTTCATTTTTGTAATGTTTTATCTCCTTTTTTCATATGTAAAAAATTTAAATATAAGAATTACACAGCATAACAATAAAACTGTACAAATACCAAGACTTTGATGTGGATAATTAATCACCCAGTCTGCAGAAGATTCTAATATTCCGTGCTGTAGCAAAACCGGTTTTCGATTCCCTGTCTTCTTGTTTAATTTGCCATATGGTATTCTTT